GAGTCGGGTCCGACTTGATGGCACATAGCAACAACAACATAATTGAAATCAAACCAAAACCAAACTTACTGCCATCAAGTCCATTCTGACTCAGTGACCCCCTTTGTGTGTCCAAGATGGTAAATCTTTATGGAAGTAGATTGCCTAGTCTTGCTTCCGCAGAGTGGCTGGCTGGTGGGTTTGAACTGCCAGCCTTCTGGTTAGCATTAAAATGCCTTAGACACTATACCATTAGAGCTCTTTAGATATATCTGAGATAGCCTAAAAACATTTTCTTATGGATTCAGTAATGTTGCAGGAGTCACTTCTCACCTTCTTGGACAAAACTGAAAACCAGGGAAATTTGTTTACTGATGTAAAAGTACTTAAGTAGGAGATAAGAAATCTATTGTTTTGGAAATAAAAAAAAAAAAAAAAATCTGAAAAAGGAGTTTATAAAATTCCTATCCAGAGAAGGAGACATAATAAACAAGATCAAGCCTTGGTTCTGACTGCTTAAAGGATTAAAATCACAGGAGCAAAATGGTTAAAATTGTAGGAGCAAAAAAGCATACGTATTTCAATTGAATTTTTTGATACTTCTTATCACTCTTAAGTCCTATACTCAGTGATTTGTTTATGAACTTAGAATTTTCTGTTTCTTCCAGATGATGGAATTCAGAAGAAATTTAACCATGAGAAACCACACAATGGTGACAACATTCGTTCTTGTAGGACTAACAGATGACCCAAAATGGCAATTTGTGATATTCTTCTTCCTATTTCTAACATATCTGCTCAGTGTCACTGGAAATCTGACCATTCTCCTGCTCACTCTGCTGGATTCCCATCTCAAAACACCCATGTATTTCTTCCTTAGGAATTTTTCATTTTTAGAAATGTCATTTACATCTGTTTGCATCCCTCGATACCTTGTCAGCATAGGGACTATGGATAGAATGATATCCTATGATGCTTGTGCGACACAATTATTTTTTGTCATCTTCTTGGGTGCATCAGAGTTTTTCCTCTTGGCTGTCATGTCCTATGACCGATATGTGGCCATTTACAAACCTCTACATTACACAGCCATTATGAATAGCAGAGTCTGCACCCAACTTCTTGTTGCTTCCTGGATGGCTGGATTGTTAACAATCTCTCCTGTACTCATTATGGGCCTACAGTTAGAATTCTGCAATGCCAATATTATTGACCACTTTTTGTGTGATTATTCTCCGATCCTAAAACTCTCTTGTACAGACACACAGGTCATAGAATTGTTAAGTTTTACCTTAGCCATTGTCATACTGATGATCACACTGGCTCTGGTGGTGCTCTCCTATGCATCTATCGTAAGAACAATTCTCAAGATCCCTTCTGCCCAGCAGAGGAAGAAGGCTTTTTCTACCTGTTTCTCCCACATGATTGTTGTCTCTATCTCTTATGGCAGCTGCATTTTTATGTATATAAAACCTTCTGCAGAAGAAAGAGTAGCTTTAAACAAGGGAATAGCAATACTCAACACTTCAATTGCACCGGTCTTAAATCCTTTTATATATACCCTAAGAAATAAACAAGTGAAACAAGTCTTGAAGAACATAATTAAAAAATATACTTTCTCTTCCTTCAAATAAAACCTTTTGTTTTTATAACAAGATACCACTAAAGGTTATTGAAAACTGTAGCCTATATAAACTGCCTTTTCAACATATCCCCTTATTTATTTTTACATTATGATAGTGATTGAAATTATTCATGACTAGCCCTTGTGTATTCAATCCACTC